TAGATGCTCTAGCCAGGGTGGCTCTGTCAGCTCTTCAATACCAATAAGGCTGCTGCTTCTTCAGTTTACATTCTTGATCCACTGTCCTGGACAGTGCAGGGGTCCCTGCTTCCTAGGGCCCCTCTCTGCACCTGGAGCTCACCTCTCTCTTTCTCTTCAATCCTTAGTGCCCATCACACCCACGGTCTTTGCCAACAGAGAAAAAAATTGCGTTTTGCCCATTTCACTCTTCCTTAGACCATACACGGGAGCAGTGAGAGCAAGGGACGGCCCCACAGGAAAGATGGCGTGTTGAGCCCTTGCTGTGTTCCAAGTGCTGGGCCAGAGGCTCGTGGCTTCTCCACCCATAATAAGTGCTGTTGTCTTTCTTAGGTTCAGAAGTGGAAAGAGGGAGCAGCACTTCAATAACTTACCCAAACCCATACCACCTGTGAACGGTGGCTTCAGGATTGGAACCCAGGTCTATCTGACTCCAGAGCTTACAACCTAAATAGGCATTATCTTAGCTCTACTTAAAAGGCAGAATAAAACTTTTCTAGAAGACACCAGTATTTTTGTCCTGTGACTTGTCATGTAGAGTCACCACATTCATCCACTCATTTGGTTTTTATGGTTTATTAATTGGTTCATGAGTGCAATGCTGATTCATAGAACATATAGAAACCACACTTCTAGGGATATCTTTCTGCATGGTGGCTCAAAGTGTGAGTTCTGGGCTCGGACCACAAAAGTTCAAACCCAGCTCTTCCATTTCCCATCTGTGGAACTTTGGGGCAGTTCCTTGATCATTTCACACCTTAGTTTCCTCATTGGTAAAATGTTGCAATAGTAGCTGCCTCCTAAGGTTGAGGAATGGATTAAGTGAGATAATACATAGAAAACACCTAAACCAGCAATTGGCACAAAGTGCTTATATCAGCTGTTATCAGAGTTATTATCACCTGCAGTAAGCACTGGGCTTGATGCCTCCTCCATCAAAATGATGGCACAAGAGTGAGAAGTGACTTTATTCTATGGGCAGAGGAGGTATTGAAAGTACTGGTGGAATTGTTTAAGGATTTTTTTTTTTTTTGCATGTCTGGGAATTGAACCCCAGGCCTCACACATGCCAAGCAAGTGCTCTACCACTGAACTACACCCCCAGGATTCTTATTATTTTGAGACAAGGTCTCACTAAGTTGCCAAGACTGGCCTTGAACTTGGAATCTTCCTGCCTCAGCAGCCTCTGGAATCACTAGGATGACAAGTGACACCACCACGCCCAGCTTTATTTTAGAAATTTTAACCTGGCACCAGAATGAGTTGGATCAAAACCAGGAGACTGGTCAAGAGGCTGCAGCAATAGCTCTGGCAAGAAGTGGTTCCAGCCTTGACTCCTACAGCCGCATAACGGTGCTGGACAGGGCCGCAGAGCACTGAACCGGGGGAAGTGCCATGGGAGGGGAAGCAGTGATACCGAAGACTGAGGTTTCTAGCTTGAAAGAAGGGAGGACCTAGGGGCCAACAAAAACAGGGAAGAGAGGAGGAAAGGCCCCCAGGGGGGACAGATGTTCACAAGCCTCTACTTCTGTAGAACTGGAAAAAGGGGAACCCACCCTGCCCTCCAAAGCCTCTGAGCTATTGTCAGGAGCCTGTTGGCCTCTTGGGAATTGGCCAAAAGCATCTCCTTCTCAGAGAGGCTGGATCACGAGGCCGGAGCCCCCAACAACCCCCAGACAGGGCCCAGCTAACCTCGTGCCTCTCTCCATCACCCCCTGTCAGTCTTTCCTCCATCCTGCCCTGTCTATCCATCATCTTGGTGAAGAAGCCAAGAAAGGAAAACCACTATTGAGACCCCAACTGCCACCAGAGAAACCCTTTCCGTCCCCAAGGAAGTCCAGGGGCCAGGCTCCTTTAGGTGTGCTTCACATCTACACCTTGACTGCCCCAAACAGGAAGGGCTCTCACCCTGACGGGAGAGGTCCAGGGTGCCACGGACAGTGGGTGGACTGGAGTTGCTTGGCAGACAGGGGTGGGTGATGGCACTGAGGCTGGAGCCACTGGGGAGCCAAGGGCTGAGAGGTTCAGGTACAGTGTGGGGGATGGTAAAGTGAGGATGTGGGAAGGACCCTGTCTACGTTATTGAACCCCCAGGTCTGGGGAGCAGCAACGGAGCTGCTCGTGTTAGGACCCCCCCACCTTCTTTGTACCCCCAGTGCCCGTCATACCACCTGACCCTTAGTAAGTGCTCAATAAAGCTACTCATCAGCTGAATAAACACATGCCAGATTCCCAAGCCCTCTTTACTTAGAGTGTGACAGAGGGTGGGAGAGGACTGACTGTCCACCCTGCCCCAGGTAGGGAGAAGTAGCTTCTGTCACCTGGTTGCTATACATGAGTAAGGATAGAGCTTTCGTTCAAGGGGCCGTCAAAGGGTGGGTTGCAGCTGCAGTGTTTGCCATGGCAAGGACAGCCAGGGGTGGGGACTGCCGGCTGCCTGCCAAGGAAAACCAGCCTACTGGCCAGCTTGGCTCCCTGGGCAGAGGTTGCGGACCCTGGGATAGGCAGCAGCATAGAATATGCTGATATATGCAAATGATGGCACAACAGCTTTCAGGGTTCCCAGAAAAGGACATTAATGTGCACCTTATTAATGGACAGCTGGCCTCGGGCAGCAAGGATTCCGGTCATTGCACCACCATCCTGTGGCAAACACCCCCAAATTTCCCTAAAATCATTCTAGATTTGCATGTCTTTTTTGTAGGCTGGAGTCCTAAGGATGAGCAGCAATTGAATTGCAAATGTGCTGTATTGTGTTGATTCATGTCATCGTTGTCCTGATGAAACTGTGACCCCAGATGGGGTGCGGAGAGCTGGCTGATGGGCAGTGACGCTCTGGGCATTTCCTTGCGTGTAGGTGGAAGCTGGGGCAGGGAGGTTGTGGAGCTGCCCAGGGAAAAGGAGGTGGAGCCGGGCAGGCGTCTCCATCAAGTGTCCTCGCTGGCTGGGAAAAGGCCAGGTGCTGCGGTTCCTTAGTCTTAGGATAGATCCTTTCACCCTAGAGCAGAGGGGAGGTGGGCTCAAGGTCAGAGCAAGTAATCTTCAGGGACCAGAAAAGACTAGAGGAGGTGGCTAGAGCTAAGGGGCTCAGCAGAGGACAGAGATCTCTGATGGTGCAGGAAGAAGCAGAGGTTGGAGGTGGCGAAGCGATGCCCTGTGTAGATGATGTGCGGCCTGTGGCTTCCCCTGCATGCTCTCTCCTCATCCTTCATGCAGGGTGGAGGAGAGAGCAGCCCCTCCTGCAGCCTCTCTACTCGGTGCTGGGGAAACAGCAGCAAGCAGGACTCGGATCTGTGCCTTATGCATGCAAAGGCTGGTAGGGAGCATCGGTGTGAAGCCAGTGATTTCAAGTTCATTGAGAGACTAAAGGAGCAGGTGGGGAGGACATAGTGTGTCTATCTAGTCTGGAGCAGCAAGTAGACTTCTTCCAGCAAGTCCACATTCAGGACTCGGGACCTGAGTCTGAAGACAATGGGAAGCCATTCAAACCATTTTAATCAGGGAGGTCATAATCAGGTTTATGATTGAAGATGTCCCTACAGTTGCCGCAGAATGGATGAAGTCGGGAAGAGCTATAAAAACTGCCCTTGAGTGGGCTTTGCAATGCTGTCACAGTCACTGTGGGATGAGGTGCTTCTATGTGAGAAACAGGAAAAGAACTTAGATCTGAAGAAGGAAGCCTCTCTTTTTCCTGGTCCCCTGGTGGTGCATTAAAAAAAATAAATGAGCCTTGGTCCCTAACAGGCTAAGCTAGAATCTGCTGTCCTCTTCTTTCCATTGCTAAGGATGGGAAGGTAGGGGACTTCCCTGCCTGGCTGGCCTCCTGCCCTGGTCCTTGACACTCAAAGAACCTCGTGCCCTCCCCTGGTTCCTGCCAGATCTCACTCCCTATTATGGTTTGGATATGAGGTGTCCCATAAAAGTTCCTGTGTTCATGCAGGAATATTCAGAGGTTAAATGACTATATTGTGAGAGCTGTAACCTAATCAGTCCATCTTGGTTTGAATGGACTGACTGGGTGGTTCTGTGGGCAAAGGGGCGAGGCTAGAAGACCTAGGTCACTGGGTGCATGTCCTGGAAGGGTGCATCTTCCCCGTGGCCCCTTCCCCTCTCTCTTTGATTCCTGCCCACCATAAGAGGAGCGGTGCCTCCCTGTCACACCCTTCTGCCATGATGTTGTTCTGTCTCACCTGGGGCCCAAGAGCAATGGAGTTGGCCAACCATGGACTGAGCCTCTGACACTGTGAGCCAAAATAAACTTTTTCCAAAGTCATCATTGTCAGGTATTTTTGTCACAGGAACACAAAGCTGACCAACACATCAGGGGAACCTCTCTGGAACTGCACCTCGACACATACCTATGGCAAAAACCCAGCACCACCCAGTGCCCAGCCTGGTCACACATATACCTCCTGCCAAGGAAGGCCCTGGGGTAGCAGGACGAACTCAGATCTACGGTCCTAATTTTGTGACCTCAATGTTCATCCTTTTCAGGGTCATCTCTGATGTTCCAGGTTCCCCACGCTACTGTCAGGGGACCAGTTTTATACTCCAACAAACAGAAACTGCACAGAGACAAGACTGGCTTTCAGAGAAGTAGTCCCCCGCCAGTAATATCTTATTCTGTAGTTACAGACAACACAGACAGAGGTGTATATGGGCCATAAAGGAAAGAGGCAACATGTGACATTTAATTCAAGATTAAAAGAAATCATCAATTGGAGCTGATTGTGCTCATCCAGATGACACCGGAAACAGCTGTATGCCATCTGTCAGGGGGGTGCCACCAGCTGGAACAACCGTCCTGAAGAACCAGCTTTGCCTTGCTCCACAGCAGGAAGGAGGGCTGAGGTTGGAGGCCAACCCACAGGACCGAGGAATGATGGGGCAGGGCTGGGGGGAGGAACAGGAAGCCTCACCCCCAGCCCACTTCCTTGGTCTTGTTTATGCTAACAAAAGCGAGTAATGAATTACTGATAAGTGGCCTCTTTTAGAAGGAAATTATTCAAGGGAGCAGGTGAGAGCCTGCAGACATTCATCTTCTCAGCTCTACAAAGCTGGCCGGGAGATGGGGAAAGGTAAGGGAGATGATTCATGGCCCGGGCGCTTCATCCGTCACTCGGGGTGTCCTCGGCAATGGGGAAGCAGGATTGATGGTCCCTGGTCTCAGGTTGGCAGTGTGGTGGGGATCCACAGCCTCCATCTCATTAGCCAGACCAACGAGGCTGAGACTCATTGGGACCTGAGTACCAGGCCCCAGCGTGAAGCTAAGAGCCAGTAGGGCAAGGGGTGGGGCAGGGGACAGAGTGACTTTGCCAGAAAATGTCCCCTCCACCACTCCCATACTCCAGGGACAGTTAGATCTTGGCAAGGGGCAGTTCCTGCCTCTGGATAGGTGAAGGATCTTGTTAGAAGACACGCCTTCTAAAAGTAGGGGAAAGAGCACTGGTCCCAGTACCAGGCCCAACTCTTCCCCTCCCCTCTCCTGGCTCAGGTTCATGAGATGGGTAGATCAGAAGTTGAAAACCAGTGGAACCAGACCTATTGTCTTTGACCAGCACAGTGTCAATTTTTTAATAAAAACACAAGTAACTAGCTTCCTTGAAAAACGTCAGAAGATCTCATGATCAGATGGAATTGAGAGCAGCTGCTGCCCCGAGGGGGCACACATTCTCCACTGTGGATCACACCCATCCCCTCGTCTCTCTGTTTTAGTCAGCTTTTTTGCTGCTGTGACCAAAAGACCTGACAAGAACAGTTTTAAAGGAGGAAAAGTTTATTTGAGGCCTCACAGTTTCAGAGAGTCTCAGTCCATAGATGGCTGACTCCACTGCTCTGCAGGACATCATGGTGGAAGGGCGTGGAAGAGAAAAGCAGTTCAGGACATGGCCACCAGGAAGGGGCAGGGGAGAGAGAGAGAGACAGAGAGAGAGAGAGAGAGACAGAGAGAGACAGAGAGAGACAGAGAGACTCCCCTCACCCCAGACAAAATACACACCCAAAGGCACCCCCCCACCCCGCAGGGACCTACCTCCTCCAGCCATACCCTTCCTACCTATAGTTTCCACCCAGTGAATCCATTCAAGTGGATTAATGCACTAATTAGGTTAAGACTCTCATAACCCAATCATTTCACCTCTAAACTCTCTCATTGTCTCACACATGAGCATTGTGGCAGGGGGTGGATACCTCACATCTTAACCATAGAACTGCCAACCCCTTCTTTTGTCCCCTGCTTCAGAGCCTCTCAGTTTCCTCTGTCTCCAGTTTCATCAGCTGCTCCCAGCTCCTGGTGGGCTCTGACTGACCTCATGTAGGTAAAAATAGACAGTGCTTCGCCGGCCGCCTGCACTGTGTGCCCCTTGCCTTGAAGCCCTGGGCTTCCCTTTCCAGAGGTGGAAGCTGCAGAGCTCCACTCAGCACCCACCGTGCACAACCCAAAAGTGCTGGGGAGTTAATGCCCAGCGAGCCAAAACTTTGATCAATGGAAAATGGGAGCTAGTGGAAAAGTCTTCCCTCTTCCTCCCTCCCAGCAGATGCTCCTGAGACATACAGCTTTTTGAAATGGTCTTGCAAGATTGAGCAATCAGTCGCACTTGGCAGCAGCCAGCTCCATAATGCATCCTCAGAATGACTCTCCCCTCCCTGCCTCACTCTCCTGCCTGGGACTGTGCTCCCTAATGAAGAAGTAGCAGACTTTGCCTTGGGCTCTGCTTTCTGGGGAATCCTGGGAGAAGACAGTTGGTGTTGGGAGCAACCCTCAAGATGAGATTCTGGAGTAGGACTGGGCACTGGGGTTCTGGCAATAAGAACACTATTGCTCGTGATTAGTTGGGTGGTAACAGCCCTGACATGCAATGGCCTCAGAGTTACTAAAGCTCTCACCTGTATACTCTGGGGAAGAGGTGCAGGTAGAAGGTGAGGCATCGGGACAGACCATGATCATGACATTGATGGGAGACAGAGGCTGCGTGGGGGAGGATTTGTGGACATGAAAAGACTCAACCTTGATTTCAGATCGAGTGTTAGGACTGCACTGTGTTCCCCTGCCTCAAAGCCCTGAGCATCCCAGTGAACCTGGCCTTATCGTGTGTGGGATAGCTACTCAGAGCTCGGCCATGGCAATGGGTGAGAGAAAATGAGTAGAAATGCCAGAGCTTTATCAGCATGGTACTGAGGGGGTGTCAGGAGGCTCAGGGAGGTGGGATTCCAGAGTGGATTTTCTGCATAGTACCTGAACTTACCAGTTGACTCTTACCGTGGGAGGCATCGTGTATCCCCAAGAGATTCACACAGCCTACACCAGTACACGTGAATGGGACCTAAGGTGAAGCAGAGCTTTAGGAGATGCATTCAGGTTTAGATGCAGTCAGCAGGGTGAGCCCTAGTCCAACATGACTGGTGTTCTTCTGAAAAAACAGGAGAGGACACACAGAGACCCCGAGGGAGGATGGCGACATGAAGACAGGAGTAGAGACTGGAGTTATGCTGCTGTGAGCCACAGCTGGAAGAGACAGAGAAGATCCATTCTTCCCTGGAGGCTTCCAAAGGTGGCGGGGTCTCTTTTGCCTTGATTTCAGACTGCCGGCCTGCTGAACTCTGAGAAAGTCGATTTCGATTGTTTAAAGCCAAGCATTTGCGGCACTTTGTTGCAGCAGCCCTAGAAAACAAATGCAAGCCCGGCTCCCGCCAAAGCAATAAGGGGTGCCCTGGTTGGAGGTGGGGGGACACCAGTATCTGAGAAATTTCGTGGTGGTTGTTTTCAGTAAACCAGGGCTGATGGTGGTACGAGGCTCACTAAGATCTGGGGCAGGGCAGAATTTGGGTGGCATAAAGGCCATGGGGTGGCATTTACACATCAGAGGCAAAGTGGACAATAAACCACTGCCTTGACCATCTTTTTTTTTTTTATTGGTTGCTCAAAACATTACAATGATCTTGACGTATCATATTTCATACATTTAGTTCAAGTGGGTTATGTATTCTTATTTTTACCACGTGTACAGATTGCAGGATCACATTGGTTATACGTCCACGTTTATACATACTTGATGGTGGCCAGTCAGCCATGCTGTGAAAGATGGCCAGCTGGCAAGGGAGTTGCTTAACTCATCTAATAAAGAAACAGTAAGGAGAAAGATAACACCAGACCCTCACCTGGTTTCCAGACGGAGGTCAGATCACACAGCCAGCATCCATTGCTACAAGTTCAGAAGAGGGTCCCCTTTAGGCAGGACCATGAAATGCTACCACAAGTGTATACGATAAACATTCCCCTATCCTTTCAAAGGGACCTCAGGGAGATTCTCACATCTCTCTCTCTCTCTCTTTTTTTTTTTTTGGTCCTGGGGATTGAATGCAAGATCCCAGCACTTTTTATTTTGAGACAAGGTCTTCCTAAGTTGCTGAGGTTGGCCTTGAACTTGTGATCCTCCTCACTCTACCTCCCAAGTTTCTGGGATGATAGGCAAGTAACATCACATCTAGCTAGAGACACCCACATTTCTAAGGACATTTAAATATAGGATCTGGTCTACCACTGATGGCTAAGGGACCAGATGGCAAGTGGACTTTTGACCCAAACATGTCCAGTGGGTTCAGGAGTCCGTGGCCTACCCTGTGGTTATTTCCCCAGTCCCTGAATGTGTTGAGACAGAAATATGGAGGAGCCAGAAGAACCCTCCCTTTTGGCTCCACAACCTGTGAATGAAGGGTTATTAGTGTTGAATGGGCCAAGTGGAAGGCCCTGAAACTACCCTCCAGCTCAGACAAGATAATAAATGGGAGGAATTATTGGCACATTCTGAAAGAAATTGCAGAGATTAGTGCCACCATTACAAACTTAGAGGATATAAAGTGGGTGTCCCCTCCATGTCCTTGCTCAGCTCACCATTCTAGCCTGCTAACTCCAGGATGGTGATGGCACATGACCAGGGATGAACATCCACTAAACCAGGTGGCATCCCTGGCTGCAGCTTCCCTGCCAGATGTGGTCATTCGAGAAGAGCAGGTCAAACAGCCTCCAGCATCTGTAGGAGGCAACTGATCAAGCAAATGCTCTTTTCCTCCTCCACAGGAAGGATCAAAAGCGGTCATCTTGGCTGCTCCCACATGGTGGGACCCACTTGCTGTCTCACCCCAGGGCTACGCTCATTCTCTTGTCCTCCCTTTGCAGTCCAAAGGGACCTCAACACACCGCATGGCATGGGTTCCCTATATTGACATGCAAATCGCTCCTGGGAGCACAAGATGGAAAACATTGAATTTTCTAGTAAGACTTGGGTGACCAAGTGGGAGGTAATCCCACAGAGACCTGGAGACTGCCATGTTGGTGATGTTTTTAGGGGTCTAGTGATCTGGGACATTGTAGGACACACCTCAAAGGTAAAGGACAAATTGTGGCATTGTGTACTTTCTCCCAGTAAGAGAGAGGCACATGCTCAGTGGGATTTTTGAGGCAGTATATGGCGCATTTGACCTATCTGTGGTGTGACTAGAAATACTACTTGCTTACAGTGGGACCTAAATCAAAAGAGGGGACTCTGCAGGGAGTGTAGTCCCTGGTGGAGGCTGCCCTGGTGCTGGGATTGTGTGTTGCAGCAGATCCGAGTCTGGGAGTTCATGTGGTAGATAAAGATGCTGTGAGGAGTCTTTGAAAAATCACAGACAAGGAAGCCTTGAGCAGAGGTGAGTGGATGGACAAGGAAGTGGGCACAAAAAGCATGCGCATCTCTCGTCTTCCATTAAACTCCAGAAGCATCCACGGCAGAAGAGGTTCGCATCCATCCGGTAGAAATGAAGGTTCACTCTGGGAAGGTCCACTTGCCTTTCTCGCCTACCAGCAGAGTGCAGGGGCAGAGTGGCTGTGGTGGCTGGGCTGGAGGCTGTGCATCTCACCAAGACCCATCCTGCAATGGCCACAGCTGAATACTCAGAGTCAGCAGCAGAGGGTGACATGGAACCTCAATATGACACCATTCTTTAAGGAGACAAGCTAGTCACTGGTGGCATATTGATTGCTTTAGACCCTTAGCCCTGGAAGGGCAGCAATTCATCCTTACTAGGATGGACTGTCCTCTGGACATAGATCTGCCTGCCTTGTCCACAGAGCCTCCACCGTACCAGATTCTGAGAGTGGACAAAATACCTGATTTCCTGGCATGATGCACCATATAACATTATCTCAAAGGTGTACCAATAGGCACATGGTCCCGGGACGCACTTGTCTCATCACACACCCCAAAACCCAAAATCAGCCAGCCCAAGACAATGGTGTCATCTCCTATTAAGGTGAAGTGCTAACTCAGGGACAGCACCCTGTTCTGAGGGTATGAGCTGAAATAGTGAACCTTATGTGATGCTCTGCCCTCTGTGACTAGGACACACAGAACCCGGAATGAAGGGGTACAAGTGGGATCTGCCGTGTCATCATCATTCCTACTGACCCACTTGAGAAATCTGTGCCTCTTTTCCCAGTAAACACAGGCTCTGCCAGGTTAGAGTGGCTCGATTCCCAGGTGATGAATGCTTCTGCCAGAGGACAAAGTGAAGTTACTACTGAACTAGTCACAACAACTACCTAGACACTGCGGGATCTTCCTTGGGTGGACCATCAGGTAAAGAAGTGTTACCACAGTGGCCGACTTAATTGCCTGACCACCGTGAGAAACCAGGGCTGTTGCTGCGTCGCGATGGGGGTGGGGTGGGGGGTGGGTTTGTGTGGAATCAGAAGATGCTCCAGGGTATCTCTTGGTACCTCTGTGATAATGGTGACCACGACTCCTCAAAAGCAAGGCCACTAAAGTACCTGGACTGCTCAGGGATGAAGGGCCAGGTCCCATAGGCTGGCCTGGTGGGGGAAACCTCTGTGGGAGAGTGGAGAAAGAAGACAATGATGACAAATTGCAGCCTTCCAACTCTTCAAGAATGGAACCTGTTTCACTCTCCTCTGGTCTTAAGTCTCTGAAATTATATATGGCTATTATCTTGAAGGGGACTCTGACTGACTGTATCTGTATCTGACCCTTCAGAAAAGAGAAGTTCTCACACAAAGGAGGCCTCACTTTGTATTTTGAATGCTGCAAGTGATGGAGAGTCAGGGTGGGTGCTAGTGCTGGGGTGGGGTGTCCCCGTCTTCTCTCAGCCTTGCTTCCGGCCCCTTGGCCTGCCCCACCTCTCTCAGTGAGCATCTCTGCATGGAGGCCAGGCCTCGAATCCAGATTGTTGTTGCTGCCTACCTCTTGCTTGTTGACACTGTGACAGGGGTGCCGAGGAACATGTTTTGACTCTCACAGCTTAGGATCTGGAAGTAAAATCAAGTTATTGTTTAGTGGGGACAACCTTTGACACATGGTACATGGAACATATTTTTCTCCTTCTCTTCCTAACAGTTTTTGCAACTTTTTTTTTTTTTTGGGGGGGGGGGGGGGGGGCTGTTCCACAAGATCAAGCAATAAGTGGACCTTAGTGGTGGCCAGTTTGATTTAAAAAAAAAAATGAAAAGAAAGGAAAATCCTTTTATTGCCTCTGGTCCTTCCCCACCTCTCTCCCCTCCCCTGCTGCTCTGGCACCCCTGATCATGATGCATAAGCCTCTGCTCACTCTCTGGAGAACAGTTTCCAATGTTCAAGGTGGGTTCAGTTGTCATCAATCATCTGCATCCCATATTGCTCATTGGCATCACCTTCCTGGTCCTTGTGGCATCTGAGATTGGGCCCTTGCATGCGCTGATCTCAGCTCCTCTGATCAATTAATTTTGGGGTGTAAGTTTCCAAGAATCAAGAGTACAGAGTCTTCTGCAAATTCATTGGCCAAATGCTTCTGTTCCCTGGACACTGGTCTCCTGTCTTGAGCACTAGAGGATGAAGTCATGGGATTTCAGTTAGTTCTGAATTGCATTTTTAAGGAGGCTCCTCTAGGTATTCCTAGAATTCATCTACCTCCAAATGGGAAGCTCCTTCCTACCTAGAGATAATCTGAGAAAAGAAGGGGCCAAAAGGAAGCAGATGATAGAGATTTGAGAGGAGCTGGGGGATGTGTGCTGACTTCAAAGAGCTTGTGCCACCGACAACTTGGATGAGCTCTAGGAAATCTGCTCTAAGAAATAAAAGCCAGGCCTCTAGAGCACTTCTGGAATCTCAGCATGGGGTGGGGAATCCAGCTCTGAAAGCCAGCCTATATGTTTGGACAGCCTTCAGAGAGAAAGGGAAGCAGGCCACCAACCTTCCTCAAAGGGAGGCTGTGCCCCCAACACCAGCAGCCTCTGACGGCTCCAGCCCAAATCCAGCATTTGATCAGCACATGCTGTCCCTCAAGACCTTGGGGACAGGGAGGAGAGACTAGAAACACAGATCTAGATGTGATTTATGCTAAGCTTGAACTTTCAGAGTATTTGTAGGCAACAAAACCAAAATGAGGCAAGGTGTGGTCATCAGAAGAGTGGTACCTAAAGTGGGGTGACAGGGTCAGGAAGCATTTGCCAGAGGAGGTGGGCTGGGCTATTGGACAGTCAGCGCTTTCATCCAAAATGTGAAAATCAAAAAACATTTGTTGATCATCTATGATGTATGAGGTAGTGCTTTAGGCTCTCGGGGGAAGAGAGAAAATAGACAGATTGACCTGCTCTCCAGGGCCTTCCAGCAGGGGGTCAGAACCAACCATGAAGAGCTACGGCACTGATCAGTGTTTCAATAGCAGGACAAACAACTGATGGACCCAGGCACACGCAGGAGGAAGGGGTCCGGCCCTCTCAGAGAAAGGCATTCCCACTGGGATCTGAGAGAGAAATCTCCTTCCAACAGGTGAAAATGGAGCAGAAAAGGAGCTGGAGAGGTACGTAGTCCGGACAGAGGCTGGAAAGCACAGCGTGGGTTTGAAAAGCGTCGAGTGACCTATCCAGTTTTTGGTCACACCACCAAGCAAGGGAGGGGGAAGGAGGGCTGCCAGGAGTCCTTGGGAGGGGACAATACTGCATGAAGGCCTGAGGTGAGGAGCCTGTTTATAGAATCAGATGTCACAAAAGGCACATGGCAGTGCCCAGCAGTTATGGAAAATAATGGGATGGGCCAGAGAATACAGGAACTTTTATGTCCCATTCAGGTTTGGGGACTTTATCCTTCAGGCAGAGGAGTCACTGAAGAGCTTTGGCAGGGGAGTTACATGTCGAGAGTAGAAAGTTTCAAAGAGGTATAAATTTGGATTTGTCGCCGTATAGATTGCATATGAAGCCAGTTTAAGGCCACAGTATTACCAAGGGGCTGTGGGGTGGGGGGGAGTAGGAGATGCTCACAGGCCGAGCCCTGGGAGCTCTGATGTCAGGTGTTGAGATGAAGAGAACCCAGCACAGGAGACAGCAGAAGGAAGCGGTGGGTGAAGAAGCCAGGAGCCTCAGGGCCCTGGTATCCTGTGAGCAGAGAGCCATCAGTACCGCCCAGTGCTGCTGCTGGGACAAGCAAGGTGAGAACTGAGGTCCCCGCTGAGTTCCTGCCATGGAAGACGGCGATGGCCTGGACCAGAGCTGTGGGGATGAGACCCTCCCTGCACAGAGTGAGGGTGACAGCTTTTTTAAGGAGGGTTACTGTAAGGAGCTGGAGAAGGAAGTGAGCCTAGAAGGTTCTAGTCTCCTCTTTCCTTTCAAATAGAAGGAATAAACTGGATGCAGTGACACACACCTCTGATCTCAGCTACTGGGATGGTTGAGGCAGGAGGATCCGTGTTCAAGGCCAGCCTAAACAATTCAGTGACACCCTGTCTCAAAAAGTTTTTAAAAGTCTGGAGAGAGAGCTCACTGATAGAGCGCTTGCCAAGGCGTGCCACGCCCTGGGCTCAATCCCCAGCTCCAAGAACAAACCAAGGAAAGATAGACACAATAACAGCAAGTGTGCATGCTGGGGGGGGGGGGGGAGGGGCTGGGGGGGGGGGGGGGGGGGGGGGGGGGGGGTGGGGGGGGGGGGGTGATGGTGACAGTAAGGGCACGGATAGAGCAGGAGGAGGACTTGCTGCAGGAGGCCTGGTTCAGGGCTGACCTTGGCCTGGAGCACTGACAGTCCATCCACAGAGTAGGGGAAAGATAGAGGAGTGGAAAACAGATGTGGGGGTGGGGGTGGGGGCAGACCTGGGAGTTTATGGAAGTTTGTCCTTGATTGTTCCCATTTTTTCAGTGACTACAAAGCAAGGTTATCAGTGGAGACGGGGGGGAAGGGGAGGTATTGGAGTTTAAGGAGAGAGGGGGAAAGGATGACCACTGGTCTGGGAGAGCAGGAGAATGAATGGACCAGGGAGATGGTGGATGATTCCAGCCAGCAGCCAGCACCCACCCGAGTCTGGGACGTATGCATTTAAAATTAGACAGTCCACATACTTTGAGTATCCTTCTCCAGCGTCACTCTGCTCACCAATGTGCAGCCATGATCGAAGGGAATGGGATGGAGATTTTTCTAGGTGACCAGGAAGTGAGAGAGGCATAAGGAATTTGAGGACATTTACCATGGATTGATCATGACCATGGATCAGGGAATGGCATCTGGGGTAGATGTGCTGGGATATGAGGAAAGATATGTGACAAAGTGATCGGATCAACAAATCGTAGATCCAGTGGGGCCAGGAGGTGACACCCGAGGGATGGAATTAAAGGGACTGGATGTCTGGTCTTGAGACAGGGATTACCGAATGATGAAAACTGCTGATGACAACACGGTCTGGGCCAAGACCACAGATGTGTGGCTGGGGGAGGGTAAAGACAGCTCATCAGAGGAGAGGAAAAGACGCAGAGAGGCCAGGCCCTGGGAGAATCCCACTAATTATGCTGCAGAGGATGGAGACCAACAGCCTAAATGTGCCAGGAAGAACAGGGAGGGCCCAGGTTGTAGAGAGCTGCAGCAGCAGGAGGAGCAGGGGGCCTTGAACTTGAGATGCAAATCTGGGTGTCTGTCAGGGGGAGGGATGGATACTGCAGGAAACTGAGCAGTGAGAAGCCAGAAGGATGCCCAGTCCACCTCCAGGCCCAGAAATGACGGAGTGTAGCCCCCATGTGAGAGGCTGCGGGGGCACAGAGTAGATGGGTCTCCAAGCGGGAGGTGCAGGGAGAGGCTGAGGGAGGCTGCTGAGGCTGAGGCCAGGGCACTGGCTGCCTCCAAGCCTGCGAGCAGCCCCTCAAAGCCTCTCTTTGGCCAGTGCTGGAGGAACCTCAGAGATAGTCATCTCGAGGCACTGAGGTGTTCAGACTGCGGCAGATCAGAGTTTGCTAATATCGCAGTAACACAGCCCTGGGGATGAGTCTTTCATCTGCAGAGCCACCGAGGCAGCTTATCTGTGCAATACATCGCCCCTGTACAAGGGACGCTTGGACGCCAAGTGCCTCCAGGATGGAAATTAAAGAGGAAAAGAGTTGGGGGTGGGGGGGCAGAGATGTTAAAAAAAAAAGTCAGTATCAGGGTTTATTTTTAGGTCTACTGAAGTAGAAAATAAGTACTTGGACTGTGAAAATTTGATCGTAAGGCAAACCCCTGCCCTCGGGGAAAGGCCGGGGTCCTGGGCTGCCGAAGTCTGCCATTCGTTACTTTTGATTTACTGCAGCACAGACAAGAGGCCCTCACATGATACATTGCTTGTATATTCTTCTATCGATTCCCAAGACTTCGTTTTCTAAACTTCCCATCCATCAGCCGCATCGTGTCTGCTCTCCCCCAGAGATGAAATAGGGCATGGGTCACCCCATCTTGCAAAATGTGGCAAGTTTTATGAGGCCGGAAGATTTGAAACAGGAACTTGATTTATGCTTGCTTCTGCCAACAGGTGAGGTCAGATGTCTTACAGTGCAGTTGAAAGGTAGGGCACAGGGGTGAGTGTGACTACTGAGAAAGGACATCAGTTCCCCCCTATAGCCTAAACAAACACAGCCCAGGAAGCTCGAGGTAGTATTGTTAGGGAGGAGGCATGTACTCAGTGGTTGTCGTCCCCTGTGGAGACCTTCCTGGATCTTGCTACTATAAACACTTTGGGAGCTGAATAACCGGCACGAACACTGCCCACATTCACCATCCGCTTCCACCCCACAACAGAAGGGCCCGGATGGCTACGCTGCGGCTGGCCCGTGGGCCTGGAGAAAAGAGAACTTGCTCCCCACTGGCTGCCGCAAGAGGTTATGGTGCCCCCACCGGAAGACATGTTGTTCTATGCATATAAGGAAACTCGGGTACCCACGTAGCACCTTAATTCCTCTTCTCCTGCCAATATTCTCAGAATGGAAAAGGCAAGCATCTGTGATGCTACATCCACCCCCATCCAGCCCCCAACCCTCCATTTATAAAAAAAATATTCTTTCAGTTTTCGCAAAGCAGATTTCCATATCTGGGGGGCTGGGATGGAGGAAAAGCTATTCATTGTCTCCTCTGAGACTAGACTGCAAAGGGAGGAGGACAGGGCTGAAGGCTGCCTGGGCCTGGGGAGAGTGGAAGGCCTACCTTCCAGGATCTGCAACTGATCTGAGGATCCCAACCAAGCTCAGTATCTCTTAGTGGCACAGGAGCTGAGCAAGGCATCAGGATCCAGAGTCTATGTCTGCATGCCTCAGTTTCCCTCAGAGAAGAATGTCTCCACCTCTCTTAGGTATTGTTAGACATTCTGAGAGTCTCAGATGGAACAACATTACAAATAAAGGAATTATCAATGTGATTGATGGTTTAAATTGAGCCTTGGGACCTCTGCTGTTTGGAGGATGGATCAATAGCAATAACAACAATAAGTAGAGAATAACTCAGGAGAGAGTTTATAAAGGACCCCTTGGCAGCGGGACCAGATCATTCAAAGGCAGGAAGAACGTTCCTGCACTGCCAACAAGGGCTCAGCCACCAGGCTTGCTCTGGGGAATGGCCCCCATACTGCTTGGCCAGACTGTACAGGGGCCATTGCTGCTCCAGATGGCATTCCAAAGGGAAACGGTCTATGTAGGAGGTAGGATGGGAAATGAGGAAATATGGTGAGCGAAAGAAGTTCCCCAGAGGTTGTGCATGGTGCCAACAAGCATGCCATCCAGGCTCCCTCAAGCTCTTCACCCATGGGCAGCACACCAGAGGTGAGGGGAGAAGCTGGCCCCAGCAGGAGATGGACCAGCTCCGGCCAGAGACCAGCCCTGGCAGCTTCCAAGAGAGAGCAGCTGTGCAGGTGAGGGCACAGGATCTGGAATTCCAGGACCTGGTCTGAAGTTTTGGCTCTGGCATGTTGTATCTGGTGATAACCCACCTGACCTCCCAGAGCCTTGGGCTTTTTGTCTGCAAAGCGGAGGCAGGGACAGCTCTTTAACTAGTTGCGTTGGGATGCCGGCCGAGAAATGAGAGGAGTATTCTACAGAATGTTCAGAGCGTTTATTAGAGAGTCACCCACATGGGATGACGGCAGGATCCCAGGAATGCCTCCCTAAGATATTTTTTGCCACCCTCCAGCTACCATAGGACCAGCATGGCCACACTCCCTGAGGAGGAGCTGGAGCTAGCGGCTGGCCGGTGGAGAGGTGGATCGAACTCTCACCTGCCACTGCCCTGCAGATTCACGGGACTGGAGCAGCTTTTATCCTGGGGGTTGTTTGCCTCTGGTTTTCCTGCTGAGCTGTAAACCCTGTCTGCTGGGGATGCGCCCAGTCCCTGGTACGTGTCTAGTACTCTCAGGGACTCATCACTCAGTACTGATCTGTTGGTCAAACGCTTGTCTTCCAGGAGAGGGGTATTGTTAAATAGCTTGGTACAAGGTGCCTCAAGGAGGATGAGAAAAAGCTTTTTAAAAGGGCACAAAAAAGCCCCCAAAAGGAATCCAGTGGGGCTGAGGCCTAATTCTAGATACTTAAAGTTTTTTGTTTTTTTTTTAAGCAGGATGCTAACCGCAAGTTCTCAAATCCCAAGCCACAGACCTGACCCTCATCTGATGAAACAATCAGCAGTGCCAAAGGCCTTATTGATAAACTTTTCCTCCAAGTCCAAGAATCACAGAGATCAACTGAGGGAAGTGCCCCTGGCAGAGGAGCCGGGATGAATGTGGACTTGGGTCACATCAGAATCTGCCTTTTATTATGCTGCTAACTGGAGTGGCTTCACACGCGATAATTGGATGTCTTGCCAAGTGGGACACTGTTGCATGCAAACACGCTTGCACACACACGCTCCCATGTGCACACACACACACGCAGATACGTAAGGAGGCCCAGAGATACACATGCAGCAGATGCAACAGTATTTCACACAGAGAGACTTCTGGATCCCCAGGCCAGCTGGGAATTTCAGTCCCAATAATAGATGACTGTCCCTGCCCTAACCAGAAATCAGTTATTTCAACCTCCAACCCAGAATATAAAAACGTTTTCTAATTTCCTGAGTTGACACACAGCCTCTTGTGCCTCTCCAAAGTTGGGAAACCTAGTGCGTCACTGGGAACCCCATGTGATCATTGTTATTAATGACAATAATAGCTATAGATTTTTGAGTCTAGCTCTGTGCCTCGTACTATGCTAGTAGTAGACTATCTCAAATAATCCAGCAAGGGGGAAACTCTTATCTCCATTTTACAGAAGCTTATCCTGTGTTTTAGAGAAACTAACCTGCTCCTGCATTTAGCACGAGGCGGAACTGGGATTTGAGCCTGGAACTCTTACTCCACCACCCTGGCTCTTGCTAAGTCCTATTAGCTTGTATAGGACACGCTTCCTTCTCTGTTCTTCTGTAAGTTCTGCTGATTGATCCCTGGCTGTAGGTCTGGAGTCTTGCAGAGGTCTCTTCCTGTCCTCTTGTCCCTATCCTTTGATGCCCCCTGGAAGTCCTTTTTCAAATACAGGTCCCCAAGGAATTCCCCAGAGATAGTTCCTTCCTCGGTTCAACGCTGTACTTCAAGTGTGCCATTGGGTTTTTGAGAAGCCACATCCCATCACTGCCTGTTTTAAAAAACTACAGTTTTTTTTATTTGATTTTAGTTAGCCCATTTTTTAACATAAACTGCTGTAAGCTACTTCTGTAGCTGAGATTTAAAAATATGTTTTCAGCTTATTATGCCAGCTACTTATAAGATTGTTTTGAAGTTCTAGTTTGTCAGCCAGTACATGAGCTAGGCTTGCAGCTTCCAGACAAACTGGCTGAGCAGGTTTTCTGTGCCCAGCCAATGATCAAAACCAGGCCAAGGGTCAAGGTTGACTCTGTTCCATCTGCTAGAGACCACCTATCGGTGACACTGATCTGTGAAGCATGACTCTGGTTCCAATGTCAAATACTGGGTTTCACTGTGAATTTGGACTAAAACTAGATTGATGCCAGGGGTCCCTTCTGAAGAATTAGAGGGCAAAGTTCAATTGCAAGCCAGGAAAAAAGGGTAAGGTCAGGGGAGAAATACTGAAGCTGGGAACCTTGTGCCTTGCCAGAAGGCGAGAGAGGCCGAAGACAAACCCAGGTGTTGGCATTCAGTCTGCAAACACCAGCAGCTTAAGGAGGATATACCAACGAGGGAGTTCAAGACAAGCACCCAGCTTAGGAATAGGCAGCTTAAAGAGGCATTTCAGGCAATGTCCAAACAAATTCCAGAAGGCTGAATCCTGATGGTGTGGGGCTTCTTTTAAAGGTGCAGACTCCCACCCTTTCTGAGCATGTACCCAGCTATCTTAAAGGTACCATGGGCTCATTCCAAATGGCTTCTGATCAACTTTAGATCTGCCGGTATGATTCTATCAGATGACATTATTTATCTCTGGTTTCTTCATTTTGTTCACAAGGATATCTTGAAAATTGTAGTCAATTAACTTTCTGAAATTGAAATACATCATATCTAGGGCATTCCCTTTGAATTGGTTAGGATTTTTTTTTTTCTTGCAGGTCATAAAAATCCAAATTAAACTTGGTTAAACAACAAGGAAATTGATGGTCTCACAAAATGAGAGGCCCAGAAATAGATGCACCTTCGAGGTTGGTCAATTCAGTAGATGAACAATGTTTTCAGAGACTCAGTTTCTGTCCTCTCATTAGGATCCATGGTAGGAGCTTAATTTTAAATCTGGCTCCCTCAGGCTCATCAGGTGACTGCCAGAGTAATTGGGATAACATACTTCTTTGTTCCCATGCACAGAGCGGGAGACTGGATTCTCTTTCTCCAAAGCCTCAAGCAAGGTTTTCCTCTTGTTGCATTGGTTCAATTCTCTCAGACCTGCCCCCAAACTGAACCAATCTTCAGGGGGACCAGAGTGAAATGTACTGGGAAATATTCACTGCACTCCTGATTCTTTGGTCCAGCTTTGCTCTCAGTAAAATAAATGAGCTCATTTGGACTTGACTCATGCTTAGTGAACCCATGCTGATTCCTGGTGCTCACCATTCCTCTCAGTAACCACAGCCATCTATTTGATAACCCTGCCGTGGCTTTACGGAGGATGACAGCTGGGGTATTATTTTTCCTCATTTTTGAAGTTGGGCACAACCTTGACCTCTCCAATTTCCAGATTCTTTAGAGCAGTGGTTTGCAAATGTCAGTGTGAGGAGGAAGCCTGTGGAACTCGCTAGGAATAGACAAATGGCAGGAGAGCCTAATGGTTACAAACATGGGGTCTAGAGCCAGATTGGGTCCTCATGTTCAAGTCCCATCTCTTGCTTTTGCTGTGACTTGGCTCAATCAACCTCTCCGGACCTCAGCTTTATTATCACTAAAACAGCAGCAACTGAGCATCCCTAATCTAAAATCTGAAACTTTTTGACCATGATGGTTCACTTCAGATTTTGAATTTGAGGCTTAGAGATGCCATACTGGTAAAGTTTGTGCCAATATTGCCAAATCCCCAAAACCAGACGTTGGAAACCAGACATTTCAGATAAGGAATAATCCACCTGTGTAGTCTCCCACGTAGGATTGTTCTGAAGATGTCTGCGTTGCTTAGAACATTGCCTGGCAGTGGTGGGCACGTAGTTGCTAAGTACATAGAAGACTCCTGCTCCCCACCCATAGAATCTGACATTATAAATTGGCTGGGAAGTTGGGAAGTCCGTGGGCAGGAATCTGTGCTTTTGCCAAGCAACTCTAGGTGGGTTGACACCCCCGAGCACCCACCAAGCAGTGACTAATGGTGCACCCACTGCGTCCACCTTCCTGTGCAAAGCTCTTCTCAAGCTCGACATGCACTTTGGCCAGGGCATAAAAATCTCCAAAAGTCCAAGTGCAATCTGGCTCCTGCCTCATCTTATTTGGACTTTGGTTTTCTCAGCTGTTTTTCTCCTTCCTCCAGAGTTGGAAGTGGTTTCCCTGATAGAACTTAGCAGAGGGGAGCACTGTCAACATGACAAGGTCCAGTGAAGAGTGGGCTCTCCTCATCCCTATTCCTCTTGCTTTGAAAGTCTCAGGTGTGTCCACTCCATTGTCCCTGGTACTCCAGCCCACTGTGGTACCCTTCCTGCAGGCCTGTGTCAGACTCGTGCTCATCTGGATGAGGACCTCCCTGCCCTGCCCCTTCCGTCTGAGCCCCCACAGAGCTCCTAGGGCACCACGGTGTGTTCCTTTGACACTGTCCTCATGGTCCTTGGCAGTTTCAGTGGTGATGACAACATCAGCATTTCGTGTCTGAGAGCCCCTTGGCCCTCCTGAGTGTCGTCTGTTTTAGAGCACCTGCCCCGGGGTTGCCACAGCCTTTTCTCTGCACCTGGGCAATTCTGTTTTCTGACACTCTGTGGTTTGCTCTGGCCATGCACAACTTTCCCTCCTTTGTCTCTTAGGAACATCAAGATGACTTTTTCCCAAACTTCCTGTCTCATTTATCTATTGCTGCTGAAAAACCTCACCAAGACTTGGCTTAAAATAGCAACCATCTATTTGCTCGTGATTGTACAATGTGGAGGAAGCCTCTGCTGGTGTCACCAGGGTCACCTTTGTGGCTGCCATCGGTGGGTCTACTGGAAGCCAAGATTCCTCCATGTGTCTCACTTATATCTGGAGACTTTTAGTGGGAGAGGAGGCGGGTTGGCATGGAGGCCAGTTTGTATATACTCTCCCCTTCCAGGAGGCCATCCTGGACTTCCTCTCCTGGTGGCCATGGGCAGAAATAGGCTGAGAGCAGAAACTAAAAGGTCTTTGAGGCCTGGGCTTGGAGGTCACTCAGCATCTCTTCCATGGACTTCTATTGGTCAACACATTCCTATGGTCATCCCAGGAACCAACAGAGAGGAAACAGACGTCACAGCTTCATGGGAGAAGTTGCAAAGCCTTATGGTCTGGATCTGAAATGTCCCCAAAGTCTCATGTTGAAAGCATGGGGCCCATATGCAGCAAGGTTCAGAGGTGGGGCTTTCAGACAATGATTGGATCTTGAGGGCTCTGACCTCAATGGTGAATTTATCCTTGAAGAATTAACCCACTGATGCTTGAATGGACTACAGGAAGTGGGACCTAGTTGGAGGGAGTAGGACACTGGGATCATGCCCTGGAAGGGTTTATCTTCTGGCCCTGTTTTCTCTCTCTCTCTCTCTCTCTCTCTCTCTCTCTCTCTCTCTCCCCTTGCAGCCTACCATGAACTGAGCAGCTTCCCTCCACTATGCTCTCCTGCCATGATGTTCCACCTCACCTCAGGCCCAGAAGAATGAAACTGGACCACCAGGGACTGAATCCTCTGACCGATGAGCCAAAATCAATCTTTCCCCTCCAAGTTGTTCTTGTCTCATTCAGTCTCGTCTGAGAACCTGACCTGAGAATGCAATGGAGAACATGGTTCTGATCTCCAGAACAACTCACAACCTGGTAGAAGAGCAAAGAGACCACTGCAACACAGTGTGACAGTATTAAAAGTGGCTGCCACCTCTTGAGCATTTGCCACATGCCACTGGGCTTGGTGATGGATTTGCTTCCTTTCAGTGTGTCTTCACTGAAACGTTCTGGGGTGGGGGAGGGGGACGACAAATATTATTATGCCTATTTTTCAGATGAGTAAATCAAGGCATGGTGTTAGGTATCCAGAGCAAGAGGCAGGATATGCACTCCGTCAAAACCCAGCCCCAAAGCCCCTGCCCTCACTAGGAACAGTGACTTCCCTCCAAGCTCTGTAGAAGGAGCTCTGCCAACATGCAAGCAGATGGGGGCAGAGAGAGAGAAGGCCTCTCAGCAGACTCCTCTCCATAAAACACAAACAAACCGCCCTCTGCCTTTCAAGCTGATCTCCCTGGCCCCTTGGCAGGCTGCTTAGATCTTTTATGAGACTTCTGGTTGAGAGTACACACCAGCCACAGCCCAAGGTGGCCTGAAGCTATGCAAAGGACTTGAGAACAAAGGAGTCACCTGCTGCCCAGCAGTCCCAAAAACACGTGATCAGGGGAGAGACTGTTCCCCAAGCCACACAGGAAACCCACGTCTCTGAAAACTCACCCATGACGTCAGCACTGCATCCAGAGGGCCCTCGTGCTTCCTCCCACTCATCCCTGCATTTACCAATTACTGAAAACAGCTCAAAATAGCACCTGTCCCTCAGCTGGGGCTGCTGTAGAAATATTGTTTGTGATCATTTTCAGGAGGGAGTGAGTCTGTTGGAAATCAGCTCAGTGAGAGCATTATTATCACTCCAACACTGGGCTCTCATTTTAACCTGCCTGGATCAGGCCAGGACACAGTTTGTGACATGCAAGGTGGAACATGGCTGCTTGTGCCAGCAGCAGGCCGTGAGGTCACCAAGGATCCACCAGAATGCAGGGGGCCTGAGCTCCAGGTGGGAGGCTCCGGGCACAGTAGTCATTTGGAGACTCTTCAGGGGCCTGACTTCAATCCCAGCTCCTTTTCTTCACACTTCAGGCCCTCTGAGATCACAAGGGACTCCTGTCCCCACCCGTCACTCATGAACCTATTTTAAAATCTGCCAAAGCCATGTGAAAGGGTGCTCACCATTACACAACAGGAAAACAACACAATCAATATCCATCAGTAGGGTTATAGTTGAACTATGGCACCTCTTATCAATGGAACACCATGATGAATGAATGAATGAAGCACTATCCTCTCTGATGGCATGACAAGAGTGTGGAGGAATATTTTTAACTGAATGTAATCACATAAATATCATCTATCCATACCTATCCATCTAACATCCATCATCTATCTATAGCTATCCATCATCTATTGATCATCTCTATGTACCCATCTATCATCTGTTTGTCATTTATCTATATCTTTTCCTCTGTCGTCTATTAACTATCTTTATCTATCTATATCATCTATCCATCTATCTTTATCATCCATCTTTATTATCCATCTATCGATTGATTGATCATCTATCCATCTGTCTCTATGGCCTATCTCTCAGCCTAACTACTCATCTGAAGCTAAACTGAACATTGTGAGTTCCTTTAAGGTGGACAGTGGCATTGGGAGGGGATTGGGTAGAGATCATGAAGATTTTGCCTCACTGGCAATATTTCAATGTTCACAATAATGCGTTGCTTATATAATTAACACTGTACTGTGTGCCCAAGCAAAGCAAAGCTGGCGAGGACAAGCCACCAACAACGTGTAACGCAGTTCATTCCTAAATCCAGCCTTGGTTTATTTGGGTTTTTTGTCTTCCTGGGCATCAGTCCTGCTCTGAAATAGCCTGGCTGGCACCCTGCCTCTCCCCGGCTCCCCTCCTCTTGCCTTAGCTGAAAGTTCTTATTTCACCTGCAGCCTCAGCCTCGTCTCTGCAGCCTCGTCCCAGCCTGCGGAAGCCAGCAGGGAAAGGACAGAGTCCTGAGGTTCTGTCCTGGAGCCTCAGCCATGTGGCCAGTGTCCCTTGGTACCCATTGCCTATGTAGACCTGAAGTCTCTCTGCCTGGATGTCCCCCAAGTGCCTCTCCTGATGTCCTTTCCTGCCTTCTCCACCAGGATGAAGCAGTCTGCACAGTCCAGGCAGCCTGATTGGCTTGGCTCTCACATTCTGCCTCTGGAAAACCCACCAGTAGGGGGAGGCACATGAGGTGTCTGGCCTGGCCTGCCCTCCCTTGGCCCCCACTGGTTCAAGAGCCCTCAGATGGCCGCCTTGCAGTGACAGGTACAAGGGAGCCTGGGTCCTGCTGTCCAGCTGGCCTAAGCTGGGTCCACAAAACCTGCACTTGACCTCCTTACTTTGAACCAAAGTCTGAATGAACTTTTCAAAGACATGAATGGACTCAGGAGGCCTGAACTGACAAGTGGCTGGGTGTTGGCTTTAGTCTCTACTGAGGGACGTCCTGGAGCCAAGCTGGCAACAGCACAGGTGGGAGAGAGTAAGGGGGAGGCAGTGTGAGGCCCCTCACCGGCCCCTACCTGTCTGCTCAGACCGCCCTGGCCATCTG